GACATCTCAATCAGCTGAAGGCCGGACATACGCAGCTGTAGAGCTCCAAAATTTCCTCACCTTCAGGAACTTTTCATCGCGGCACCTGTTTCTTTCTGCACCCAAGAGGAAAGAAATTAATGAAACCCAGAAAACTACATAAAAGGGCTACTACCTGGATCGGAAGACGCTATATATGAAATGATTCTACTATGAGTATGCTAATAATCTAAGCGTTTCCAAGAAAGCCATGAAGACGTTAAAGACAACAAATGTCCTGAACGCTCCAGCACATCAACTACCAATAAGACGTGGAAAAAATTAAAGTAAAGCCGAATCTCATTTCCAAAAGCGGCTGTTTTTGAAGGCACATCGGCTTTCATGTCATGAGATTTATTACTTCAATGTTTTTGTTTTGTATGAAATGTGTGTCTGCAAAGCTTAATTGAATTTTAAACAAAAGCAAAGGAGAATAGAAGTTGTTCCGGAGTCAGTAAATGTAGTCAACACTGTTGAAAAATTTCTTCGTTTACAGTTATAACACCGAAACTAAGTCTCAAACATTGCAGAAGAGTCATTTGGCTCTCTCAAGTGCGGTGAAACGTAAAAATTATACTCAGAATGTTCTTTGAAAATCTGTCACCAGATCAAACGGTCAATGAGGAGCATTACCTACTTGATCAATGTCATAAGTTTGAAATAATCTGAAAAAAATTCGAGGAAGCAGTCATGGCTTTTGCACTACCGATCTCCATATTCGCCAGACCTGGCTTCGGGTTTCCAAAAAATAAGAGAATCATAAAGATAAATGAAATTTAAAGTGCATCTTTGAGAGAAGTGAAGGCTTTCCCAAAGACCGAGCTCGATAAGTGTTTCGGCTATTGGAAGAAGTGCTGGCACAAGGGCATAATACCGTAAAGAGACTTTTTTGACAACGACAGCATCAATGCAATCCTATGTGTAAATATTTTATAAAAAAAAAGTTAGAATTCTTCTCATTCTTGTAACACTCCTCGTATATATAGAAAAAATCTATCTATTAGCATAATTTTTAGTTTTAAATCGACTGTGGTGACACCTATTGGCGGAAAAATTCTGAAAAATCTGAAAAGTGATATTGAAAAAAATCATATTAGGAACTTAAAGATGTCACTATTTCCCTTTCTCTCTCTTTCTCTCTCTTTCTCTCTCTCTCTTTCGCTCTTCTTCTCTCTCTTCCAACATCTTTCAACTTGAAAACAAATTGCAAAATTTAAAACTAAATAAAAAAAATTAGTTTTTAATAAAAAAATCCAACGTAAATTTTTTTGTTTAATGTACCGTTAAGAAGCGCTCAACAGTCGTCAAAAGTATTCATAAACACATATATATTATAATTACCTTTGCAACAGTTGTCCAAGGCGTACATATACGTACGTGTATGTAAGCACATATTTTATAAATTTGTATATACAGCATTAACACATATACATACATAAGTAGATTTGTATCTACCCGGCAGCAAGTTTCCATCACAAAAAATACTTTATTATAACTTTTTTAGCAAATGTTTAGATGCGGATCTTCAACGCAATTCCCACGCATTTAGCCAGCTTTGGCGATATTTTTTTTTAATACATCGCTTGTCATACATATTGACATATATATGTTTTTCTTTGCAATTTCATATATTTAAATTTATTACATTTATATTTCTCCAATATATGCTTTTCATTCTTTATATTAAAAGCTCGCACATATGGTGGGGCTGTGAGTTATGCACATACTCGTACATTTGTATAAGAAAAGCATACACACTCCTACATTTCTATAATATTTTTAAACAGATTTTTCATAAATTTAGCATCTTCACATCAATTTGGTTATTTCCAATGCGGCGGCGGCTGTTAAGAGGTGCTGTGTGCTGCTATTTTTATTTAATTTTCACTCAAATTCATTCGCTATGCTTGTTGTTGTGCTTTTTATTGTTTTTGCATTTTTTTATACTTTTTTTTGCTGTTTTTGTCTTTGGAATAGCTATGTTAGTGTTTTTTTATGTTTATTTAGTTTTTCTTATTTATTTATGTGTTTATTTATACATATATTTAATTGTTGTCTAACGATTGTTCTATGATGTTGACGGTGACAGCGGTGTTGAGTAAGGAGTATACATGAACGGCCTTGCCGGTGAGAATTGTGCTTTATATTTTTCTCAATTTCAAATTTTTTCTAATAGTTTTTTATAATTTTTCTATATATATATTTTTTTTTTTGAATTTCCCAGTCACATTATTCATAAATAAATTCTTCGCATAAATTATTTTATTTAATTCAATTTTATTTTAAATAATTTGATTTTATTTCGATTTTGTCTTATTAAAAATTTTCTTATTTTACTTAGTTTTATTTATTTTGTTTTATTTTATTTTACTTTATTTTAATTTTTTTTATTTTATNTTTTATTTTATTTTATTTTACAATATTTTCTATTTTTACAGTATATAAACAAATCAAACACAATTAGATTGTAAAACTATTATAAGCCGTTACCAATCAACCGAATAATTACATTTATACAACCATGCAAATTCCGACATTTCTCATATACACGCAAATTTATTTATTTATATGTAATAATATGTCAGATAAATAGGAAAAATAGCAACAACTGCACTTAATAAATGACACCAGCATTTTTATAAACAAACCGATTGCACAATAATAACACAGAAGCATTCACTTTTATTTACAAACGGCAAATGTACATATGTACATATGAATATGTGCATTTATCACACTTTTCTTCCCGCATCCGCCCGCAACAACAACAACGATGTCCACTTAACAACTCTATGGTATCGCTGTCTGTCTATAGGATTACATACATTATTATGTACATTTATGTAGATATGTTGTTGGCCCACGTTTGTTAAACTTTATTCCACGTACAAATAAACACGTCCACGCCGCTGAAAATACTATGGAAAACTGATGCCAAAACTGTCGGCTTGCTTGGTTTTGTTGTGCATGTGTTGGAGCGAAAGAAAAGCGATGTTAAGCACGATACATCGAAGATGTTAAAATTATACAATATTTATATTATGATTCTTGTTCGGCGCTCAGCTGCTGGTCGACACTGTTAAGTGTACGAGCCTGCACACATACAAACATAATTTTTAACACAAAATAAATCTTTTCCTGCTCTACATTAACATGCTCTGCTGTTATAAATGGCACGTGTTTATCGTGTGCCTGTTAAGTTTACAGAAAAATGTTATGTAACAGAAACATTTCGCTGTACATTCTCTGCAGTTCTCTGTTTGCGTTTCGCGAATTTTGGCTGTTGAAAGGGGTTGTTAACTCAAATGAGTGTAAGGGTATATATGCTTAGATGAGAATTGACATTAGGGTGGCACTATCTTAGAAAAAAAATTAAGGATTTTATAAAAATAAAACCCGAGTATTTAATGAAACGCGATCGCGGTAGCTTAGTGGTTAGCATTGCGTACTGCCATACGGAAGACCAGAGTTCAAGTCCTGATGCGAACACAATCCTAAAGTTATAGAAAAATAGTTTAAATAAAAAATTAAGTTACATTTTCTAATTAATTAGTTAGGGAGTCAATATTAAAGCACTCAGTAAAATAAAAATTTAACATTTTCAGACAGGAAATCTAAGTAATGGTTTTAAATTTGGTTTTCCATATTAAGGCGCTATGTACCTGAGTATTTAAAAATTTGAAAACAAAACTTTTTTTAGATTTATGTCTCTTTAAGTTTAGCCAGTTCAAAAAAAATCTATATTGCCATCAAAATCCTTTTAGACTTTTCTAAAATCAATCGAAATCATTTTTTCATACTAAATAGTGGCAATCAAATTTTTGTGTCACCCTAATGAAAATACAAAAAGCAGCCAAAATTACTAGAGCGTTACATAAAGTCACTGCTGTAAATGTAGTTTAACAGAGGAAGAGAAAATGCTGTTTGAATTACATTACATAAGTAAACTGTTACTTTTTAACATTTTCGCTATCGGCTTTTAGGCGCTTTGCATTATTACTATTTTAAGGAGCATAATTTTAATATTTCTGGCAAAATTTTATCCAAGCTGAATTCTTTTTTTGATTTTGAACTAGAGAAACAGAGTGAAAGAGAAAGAGGGGGGTCTTAAATGTGGAAGTTTAAAGAAACATGGGAAAAAGTGGTTAGTGTCGCGCGTTTACGCATTGCATGCAGGACTTACATTGGATCTAATCTGAGAAAGTAGCAGTCGCAGCGACTATAGTAACTAGACCTTAATTATGCCAATAATACACCGTTATTCGATTTCTTCATTATATTCTAATAATGGCGCTTGCAGGGGGAGAAATGAAGGCGTTGATAGACTCTTTTTGAGTGTCGCTTCTGTTTTATAATGCTGAATGGAGTCCGTAAGGTTAAAAAGAACATCATCAGGATTTTATGGTTTTCAAAGCGCTGTTCTGACACTGATTTGCCTTCTTAATTTGCTCTGTACTTTGGTGATGATTGTGGTCATATGCGGAGTGTCAAAGTCGAATATCGTTTCCAGTAACTCATTAATAAAATAAAACAGTCGGCATCGCCTTTGATATGAGATCAAAACTGCACTGCTTCGCCCAGCTGGTATAGATAGCCGCTGGTTGTTGTTGTAAGTGTCGCGCAGTGAAGAAGTAGGAAAGATCGGAGTTAGCAGTTTAGCTTTGATCAAAGGTTATCAATATCCAGGCCAGGCGCCAATACCGGGCAGTTATCGTTAGATAAGATAAAGGGACCTATGATTGCGGGAGCTTCGAAACGCAAGAATTAAGCAATAGCAGGAGAATGAACATTACTTTTTGGAACCGCTTGCCTAAATTTCTTCAGTTTGGATTTGGAAACACTAAGTTCTAAGCGTATGAGGCTCGGTTGTGTAAAGGTTTCTGGTCAATTATGGAGATTTAAAGTCATTTTGGACTGAATTTTCGGTAAATAAGACATTTTTTTACAATTTCGAAGCAATAAATTTATTTTAAAATCTAAATAGCTATATAAACTTTTATATATATGTACATATAATTTTATAAGCTTGTCTTTGGAAGCTTTGATTACACAGCTCATTTATGTAATAATTCAATATACATACAAATAGAATTAATATATATATATATGTAAAATAATTATAGTATTATAATGAAAGCATTATTTTTGGGGATATTAAAACTAGGAAATTGTTTTAATTCATTTTTATAGTCAATATGTATGTGTGGTCATAATAAATTTTATATTCTAAAAAATTGAATTATTGAAAGCTATCTAGATTGGTTATCGTTTTTAATATTGAAATGCATTCACAGCTACTTAAGCACTTTTGTATGTATGTGTGCTACTCCAGCTTCTGCAGTGCCACGCGCGCAGCTAACAACATGCGACGTGATGCCTTATAAATCCACTTCTCGAATTCTTTTGAATTCAAATAGTAAACTTTACTTATGCCCGCTTGTATAATCTGCTTGGCACATTCATTGCAAGGCATGAGCGTGGAGTATATGGTGGCGCCACGCAAATCTGCCGGCTGTGAAGTGAATATGGCATCCGATTCGGCGTGTATGACATAAGTGAGTTTGTTATTCAGTTGATTTTCCTTTTCCTTGCACCACGGGTACGGCTCGTCCGAGTAGTTTGGCGGAAAGTGATTATAACCGATGCCAACAATGCGATTCTTACGATCCACAAGGCAAGCGCCCACTTTTGTTTTGGGATCTTCACTACGTTGTGAGGCCAGCAATGCAATGCCCATGAGGAATTCGTGATCTTCTAGCAGATCAGTGGTGCCCACACTCGTAATGCGATTTCTATCATCTATTACGCAATTTTGTACGTGCTGGTCCAGATTGTTATTATGCTTCATGGCGAGGTTGAGTATTTCATTATGGAATTTATCATCTGCCAATAGTGTTACAATGTTTTTGTCCATGTCATGGTCCGCTATGAATGTGGGTGATGGTGAACGTGAACGACAACAGGAAGAATTATCGCTCGAGTCGTGTGTAGTGCGATTACAATTGTCGCTACTGTTGCTGCTGCTGCTGCTGCTGACGCTCCTGCTGCTGCTGGTGCTGTTGCTGATTGTGGTGCCATTTGGCGTTGTAGATTTCGGTGAGACTGACACATCACAGTCATGTTCGGTCATTGTACTTTATATCGGGCGAGCGGTTGTGGCTAGAATAAACAGATAAAAGAGAAAGATAAGAGATAAGAATAAAAAGTAAATAAATCTGTTTAAACACTTAATCTTAAATGGAAAATTATAAACCTTGTAAATTATGAGTTTCCAATTAGGTAATCCCAGTTTTAAGCACACGAAACTAGTCAGAAGGCAACCGTTTCGTCGGGCTCTGCCAAAGGCCATTCAAAGAGATGGTTAGTGTCGTGCTGTGACTTATTGTACACAGGACCCACATAAGGTATGTCGGAATCTAGGGTCGGCGACGAGAGTTACCCTAATCTTCTTGTCTACCACAGGTGGTTGTTGGGTTCCGATGACGCCATTCATTCGAGGCCGATTGCAGATTTTGACGGCCCCGCGATTTGTCGCATTTAGAGTTTCTCTTCAGTTTGGTGTATTCAGTTCACCTTCTAGCACCACCTTCTAGAATACTTTTTTTTTAATTTTCCTTATTTCTGAAAGTTCGAAACCAACTGCGTGGAGTGACGAAGACAGAGTCCCCCCTGCGGGTTAGGGGCTCAAGAATTTACCCGCGGTAAGGCATGCTTGTCGTAAGAGGCGACTAAGATCCAATAGTTCCTGCAACAGTCGGGTCTTTATACCGGAACGACCCGGATTTTTTTCCGGCCAAGGACTGTCACTCCCGCAACATTCCCCAAAAAGTACTTTGGGAATAATTTTGCGGCTACAACAACAACAACAACAACAACGAAGAAAGAGTTTTCGCTGAGGCTCGCTCGCCGTATTGTGGAGTTCGATTTTGTTGATTTTTATTCGTACGGGTTTTTAGAGGAAGAGAAGTAGATCCCCTTTCCTGCCTTTAGAGAGCGATATTAGGTCATCCACACCACGGAATAGTTATTTGTTCGTAAAACCCAGGAGATTTGGGTCTTCTAGGAGGAAGATGAGTACCTCGCGGCCTCTAAATAACTGTTATTTTTTTTAAACGGGCAGTAGTTCCCCACCACAATCACTCTAAGTCGGCGCGGTTAACAAAAGGGGGATCCAGGAAGCGAGTCGCTTCGATGGGATCAAACCAGAAGGATAAGGATGTTAGATACGCCGATAGTTCAACACCACTGCATTTTGCGTTGGAGGTAGTAGGCATTTTACGTAAGCTGGGTAAAGGAAGAGATCAGCAATGCTTCTAATGTCTTCACTATCGTCGCTACTGGAGGAACATCGGCAGGTCTCTGGTAATCGTGTTCTTATCACATACCGGTCATATGCTGCCACTTCTTCGGGACACACGGTGCGATCCATTTAATGTGTGTTCTGATGACTAGCAAATGCAGAAGAGTCTGGCTTTTTTGAAACCTTTTTATTTCAATTTCGACTATGCAGCTTTATATAAAATTTTTTCCCAATTGTTTCATTACCTTTTGAACAACATTTTTGTACATACGCTCGCACATACATACATATCTGTGTAGACAAGAGTTTGCTTTTAAATAACTCAAAGGGAAAAACGAAACCTGAAAACCCCACAAACACACAGAGTTTATCATCATTACCATACATACATATATACCACCGCATAGATTCGCAAAGCCAACACGCAGTTCAGTTAAGGTTTTATCGTTGAAACATGCATTCTCTTTGTGCGATAATTTCATTTCTTGCGATAATCTCACAAAGCCACGTCACTCATGCCAGAAGTAAGAATAAAACTACAAACTTTAAAACCATATAATTCACTTTATAATTCAATTACAGCGCGTTACGAAGAATTTGAATATCGAGATTGTGAACCAATCACTGCAGCTCCGAGGGCTGATAGCTCGAGACAACCAACGATTGCTGATGCAAGTTGCGCAGCTTTTTGCAACCAACACCAGTTTCCGCACGGTGGCTGCGATTGTGCAACTGAGAAATGTGTTTGTGCAAACATGAATCTAAATTTTTGCAACTTTCAAAAGATAAGATTACATATTTGAGTAAACAATAAATATAGTAAAAAATTATATACATTACACAAGCCCTTATCAATCCAAATCCATTATTTGTGTCTTTAAAGTTCGGAAAGTACATATATTTGTTGCAATTTTATACTACAATAAATTCATAGGTAAATGTATATAATTGTATGTATAAGCCAATGTAATAAAATCAATACTTTTTTCTAATTACTTATTTTGTATATCAAATAGAATATTTTATGCATCCAAGTTGCAAGACTAAGTAATTCAAATAAGAAACAGCATGACGGTTTGATAAATCTAAAGCGCAAAATACTATATACGCGAAATGTACACATTCCTTTATTCATATGTGAATGTTTATAGTTTTTTAAATATGTAGAACGGTTTGATTGAAATTTATTCTTAAGCGGTCTTCAAAGGTATGGGATTCTGTTTCAAATGTAGATATATAGAACGCATACGCGATACATCTTTGCCAGATTTATTCACTTTTGGATTGAAGTCGCATAATTTTGCAATACGTTCCCATTCTGTGCCTGGCTCCATGGGGCCACCATTTTCGAGCGCTGCTGCCTGTTTCTCCGCGTTACGAGATGCTGCTTTAGTCTTAGCAATTGATTCTTCCGTTTGACGTAACCAGTCGTCCAATTCTTGTTTAGCTTGTTGACGTAACTCTTCCTTTTTACGTTCCTCTTCGCTATCTTTCTCTTCTAAACGTTGTTTTTGCTCTTCACGCCACTTTCTAAGTTTTTCTGGTTCAATACGAGATGGTGGTGGTCCTGAAATCCCAACTGGTTCATTTGATTCACCGCCAATCATTTCAAAACTTCCAGTGGATGAACCTAAACCACCGCCACCCGCACTTGGTGCGAGTTCATCGCTTCCTATTAGACCACCATCTGTACTGGGTGGTGCACTGACAGCGGCATTTGCTGGTGGTACTATCTCGGACTCCAAATCACCAAGCACCGATTGTTCGCGTGCCAAAAATTCAGCTGCGGGATCTACTTCCTCCTTAGGTGCAAAGTCATCACCGAAATCCATTATGTGTTGTAATATATAGCAGCTTCCACTATGAAATTAGAAAATACAATTATAGGGCGTATTGTTCGACGTTGTCTACAGTAACAACACGTATGTATACTGATTGATTTGAAGCCGCTTTGTTTCTTTACAATAAAGCAAAATCGACTTAAATCCACCTCACAGGAATATTTACCTCAATTAAATGTAAAAAATATACTTTTTTTAATATTTTCCACTTTGTTGAGTCAGCACAAATCTCATACAGAAAAAAATAGCAGTAAATTTTTCCAATCAGTGCGTAAAAATCACTCTTCTTCTTTAGAGAAGTATTGTCAATGAAAGATGACAGTTGTGACGAGGCGTGTGAGTGAGATAACACTTGTTACCTACAGACCAATAAATCGCACGAAGGCTCTGGCAAACAACAGAAATAGCGAACTATGTATTTTCACTATTCGATGTTATTCGTTTTACAACTTAATATCATGAAATGAAGCATCTGTTACTTTTAACCAACACTTACCTTTAAAAAAATTTAAAACGTAAGAATATTTCAATTTCACAATATAACAAAAGACACAAACTCAAGCACTCGTACTGGGAGAAAATAAGTCAATCGGTAAACGCGGGAAAACACAATCAGAAAAACAAAAGCACGGTTGCACCGCGATGTCACAATTCGCAATTCGCAGCTGAGTGGCTGGTGGTTAAATTTTTTTTTAATTATTGACAAGGCAAGTTCACACACGGAAGTAGCAGGAATACAAAAACAAAAATCTCATGAGTTTTGTTTGTGTAATCATAGTTTCGAAAACTCAAAAACGAAAATCACTCAATGTATTCTGTTTGTGTAAACAAACGTTCAAAATGTCAAAACCTATTTCTTATGTATTTGGTTTTCGTAATTTGTTGAAATGGGAAGAAGAACAAGCAGTCAGGGTGCTTTTATCTCTAAAAACAAAGCCCTCCACCCAATTCCGCAAATGTAATTGTGGCCAAGCAAGCGAACAGATTGGTTAGGTGCTTACAGTATTTACCTTTATTTACTTCCTTCTGGCACATAGGTTTAAAATTTTTATAAACAAATTTCATCGTCCCTGATCATTTTTGTTAGCTTTGTTTAGAGTTTTCGAAATAGAAATTGTGATTGAAGGGACATAAAACTTATACTAATTAATAATTATTTAATTATGGTAGTTGTTTCTGGTATATGCTCTTTAATTTAACATAAACCCTCTACTCATTAGAAATTAGACCATTTTTCTCGACTGCTTATAGTCAGATCTTTTTCCGAAAAACAAGACACGATTTATATAAAATCTCAATATATTTATTGCTCCCCATCAGAGGAACATAAAAGAAAACGTTTAAATTTTATGATGTTAAGATTTTTTTGCGTCAATTTTGATACTATTTTTTTAGCTGGCATATGGTGTGTTTGGTGAAGGGACGAAAGCAATGAAAAAAAAGTTAATTTTCTCTATTTTTTCGATACTGGCCTTCTGAATTGCAGTAAGCAATGCTAAACTCGCTACTCTAATCCAGCCATACTACGGGGAACATATATTCGTAAATAACAAGTTGTAGTTTAAATCTTATTTTTATTTCAAATTTAGCTCTATTCTGATACAAACTTCATCAGTAATAAAAAAATCCTTGTGATTGAAAGTCATAAATGCAACCCTTTACAGCACTGTTCGCTTTAAACATTTTGACATTTTGCCGTCATGCATTTAATACACACTTTCGGACTAGATAGCCTCGGCCGAATTCGGAGTGGGAATGTTTTTCTCAAAATGGCGCTCGGACTGTGTAACGAGTAGACAGAATAGATGACGCGAAAAAGTGAAAATTGACAACAAAAAATTAATAATTTTGTGAAAAATTTTGTTAAAAAGTTTAGACAAGAACATTTTTTATGTCAATGAAGTGAAATTTGAGTCGTAAATCAATAAAAAGAGTGAATAATTGAATTTTCAATTGATAGGCAACGTAACGAGTTGCAGGAGAACGCGACGAGTCACGCAAAGGCGACAGCGTTGGGCAACAGCGTATAGAACGACCGGTCGAGCCGTTTTGCTGTGCAGCCACAACAGTCGTAATCCAGCTAGATACATAACGCAAGACAAAGTACACATTTGTGGTGCTCCACTGGTTGGTGAATGTTGAACGGGTGTCGGTGTGCCACGGGATAAGCAAAAAAATCCCCAAACTAGAAGTTTTCGCACAGTGTTACACCAATCGGAAGCGAAGCAAGTGCGTTCAGTTGTTATTGTAATATATTGTTGTGGGGAAGCGTTGTGAAACACAATCGGCATTGAAATTTAAGATAAAGCATTATAATGCATGTTTTATTGAGTGCTGGGGTGTTATGTGTGAGAGAAGCACATATCATTGTGCCGTCAGTGTATGTATCATTATTCTCTAACTAGCCAACTCGTTGATATGCAAAGTATGTTTTTGGCGGAACATACATATTTTATATGTTTTTGTATGCAATTCTACCTGGTGTTTTTTTCGATTTATAACGCAACCCCACAACAATGCATAAATTTATGTGAAAATGCTTTGCTTTGAATAATCTAATCAATTTGGTCTTGTAGACGCCTTATATATATACATATATTCTGCTGAATCGTGTACATCAATATGGATCCCAATTCAAGTCCCTGGTCTTATGCCTATAATCGAATTGTGCCATCTGCCTCCAGTACGGGTTCAGCTGAAGATTTTCAACATCCACATTTAGCGCCAGCACAGTCTCTTTTTCTACAAGCAGCGCATTCAGGTATAGCAGCCAGCTTCAATGCTGCTGCTGCTGGTAGCGGAAGCTTTGTATCACCTTCGCCCATCAGCGGATATAATCCAGTCTTTCAACAAATCTACCATCATGCAGCAGCAGCTAGTGCACAACCCAAACCTGCGCATTATGCCTCAAGTGCTGTAAATACACCAGTGAGGCAAATACAAATACCATCGACATTGGATAAACAATTGACAAATTTTCAAAATCAAGCAGCTGTAGCTGTTGTGTCGTCGGCAGCAGCCGCAGCTGCAAACAATGCCGCTTCTAATTATTATGGTGAAAATTCCTCATCGAGCGGTGCTTCGCCATCGCCAACAACGTCTGCAATTACATCAACAACACTTAGTTGGAATACGCCAATGATATCCAATACATTTTTGGCTATGCAACAGCAACAGCAGCAGCAACAACAACAAACACAACAGCAGCAGCATCAGCAGCAGCAAGCACAACAGCAGCAATTGAATTTAGTGGCGGAGAAGGTGGTGAGTAGTATGTTGGAGAGTTTTATCTCGCGGCCGTATATAAAGAGTGCGGTTTTTGGATAATTAATCTGGTATTCTATGCTGCCTTTAAACGTTGCAGTTTATGTTAAGCTTTTGGGTTTTGGTTTCATAAATCGGTTATTGCCTGCGCCATTGTTTCTTCAATTTTTATTTTTAAATTTACAAAATTTCCATTTGCTTTTCTTTCTAAATTTATACATAATATCGATTATATTGTGATTTATGTTCCATTTTTTAAAAACCCGTAAGAGCTTTGGTTACCATGGAAGGGATTATTCCTATTTATTTCATCTAGTCTTTCTTTGCTTATACATTTTGATATATTTAGTTGTTTTTGAAAATATTTTCACTCAAAGCAAATCTCAGCAAGTAAATGTTAATGTTAGAAAATAACTGTAGCTCATAACTAGGATAGCCTATAGATATTTAAATGTATGTTTGAAATTAGTTTTACCAAAAAGTGCTTAAATTAGAAACTTCTTTGAAGCGCAAATAATTACACGGGAAAACTTGATATCCTTTTAATCATAAATATAATAAAAAAAAAATACCCTTTAAAATCAAATAATATTCCTAACATCATCTACAAACACAAACACATATAAACTACAGTCAAATAAAATGAATTCAAAATTTTTGCGACGCGTCTATTCGCACATTTTCAGCAAATCAAACAAGAGAAGACAGCCGATCTTAAGGCTTACAATGACATACTCATATATCAGACTCAACTACAACAGCAACAACAACAACTGCAGCAACAACAGGAAGAAGTGAATGCCACAATTGACAACGAAGGTGAAATGTACTACACCATTGATGGTAAAAATTATAAATTAGTACGTAAAGGCCAGCAACAACAACTTATACCTGTAGAGCAAATACAACAGAATGATGTTAATGCTACATACGCTGCTGGCAGTACAACACCAACACTCGCTGTTGCCGTTGAGAATGCCGTTTCACCACAAGTAATTGTCTACAAGACTGGTGGTGCAGAATCGCCAGCATTGCGACGCAATATTGGCGGTGCAGGTTCACCGTCATCAGCTACTGTTGCCTATTCGTCTGTGATACAAAGTACACCGCCTCAGCATTTACAACCACAGCAACAACAACAGCAACACGTATCAGCGTGTTGGACTAAAATCGAGGACACCAATGGTTCGGCGGATGGTGGTGCTGGCACAGAAGATGTGAAGAATGTACTGCAATTGCAGGTGAAACAGGAGAATCGCCAATTGGGCTATGTCACGGATAATGATGTGGGCGAAAGTTTGATATTTAATTTGCCACCTGGTCTGGAAATTAAACAAACATTATATAATCCCAATACGGGTGCTGCGCTTGGTAACACGACTGTGCTGCAACACACGCAGCAGCAGCAGCAGCAACAACAACAAGCTCAACAACAGCAATTGTTGGCACAACAGAATTTATTTAACAATCAAAAGTTGCAACAACAACATCAGCAGCAACAACAGGTAGAAAAACATCGACGCCAACATATGGTGGCAAACATGTTGGTATCGCCGACGGCTACGAATAATCAGCAGCAGCAACAGCAAACTTCTTCCGCTCAAGCGTCACAGATTCAAATCATACCAAAGGTTTGTATTTTATGATTTTCGATTTGTATATTTTCTGGAAGCCTTTTGTTAAATTGTTTCCTCATATTCTGCGCATCTTCGACGTGCTTATTTTTTTTCTTCTTTTTTCTTAATTTTTATTTTATTTTACTCTATTTTAATTTTTGAAAATTTCTCGTTTCTTGGAAATTTTGCATTTAACATTTAAAACATGACACTGCTAACACTCAACGCACTCATAGTTCATATTTGTATATTTGTGTAGTGTGTTCTATTCTATTTTTTGATTGCGCCCAGTTTTTCAGTGCGAATGCAATATTTTTCCATTTGTTTGTTGAAACTCGGAAATTGTGCTATTGTAACATTCACAAGTTCAGTCTTCAAATTACAAATATGTAATAAGTGGTAAAAATGTCACAAGAAAATCCTTTTCTACAAATTATTACAATAAGAAAGTAACAAAATTTATATGTTATATTTAATTAACAATTAAAATTTTATCAATAGTAAATAGATAAACTCATTATTGCATTTGAGGGAAATATTTTAATCTAACTTTCATCTGTTCATATTTTCGAAACAAAAAAAAAAAACAAGTTTTCAATGCATTTAAAAATTTTTATTACGCTTAACCAAAAAAAAATTAAAACAATCACATTCCAACGCTTGTCCCACACTAATCGTGAAATTTGTAATGTTTTCAAATTTATTTTCCTCCATGAAAATGTGCGTTTGTTCTGCTTTTCACTAAAATATTCTTAAAAGTACATACACATATTACATATGTAAACCTAATACCAAACAAAATTTTGTGTATTTCTTAATACTCACTCTTTGTTACTTTTTATTTATTATTATTTAACATTTCTATTTAATTTTTTATTTTTGTCTTTTTGTAATATTATTACATTCCCTTAATTTTGCTTCCCATATATAATTGATTTTAAATTTTAATTTTAATTTTAATTTTCTGTTTAACAAAAGGGAGTGAAACTAAACAAAACGAATTGTATGCATTTGAACCTGTGACGTTTGTTTCCATACTTTTGCGGAAGAGTTGCGCGTAAGAATGCTGCTACATATAACAAACAATATACCGATATTTTCTTTTGCTCTATTCGTGATATCGCTAGTTCGAGTGCTATCTAACGCATTTGCCATATTTTTATATTTTGTATATTAAAATACAAAATAAATACTTTTTTTTTTAGCATATTTGCATATTTCTTGAGGTTGTCTGTGTGTAATTTGCTTAAATATTTGAAAGTATTTGAGATTTACGGAAAAATATTGCATTACACTGAACTTATGTTGTTTATGGTAGTTAGAAAAATGATGATAAGTTTTAAGAGTTAAGCAAAGTAAGAATTGTGGAGATAAAATTAATAAATATTTTAAAAGTTCGTATTTTTATTTCAAAAATTATGCGCTTTTCAATAAGAATTTATTTAAATCTCTTCTAGTTCTAAAGGAAATTGTTCAAAAACATTGAAATTTGTTTTAGTTTGTTTATATCATTCCTCCTTGTCATATTTATGTGTATGTGTATTTAATTTATATTTTATAATAAATTTTCCATATTTTTTTTAATTTTTATTTTATTTTATATTTGTTATTTTATAAGCTTTATGCTTCTTTAATAATGATTAACATATCCAAATTTATCGCGTATTATACACTTGATCATGGCTGATTTTATTTCTATAATTACGCTTGTAAAATGTTTTTTCAGTATTTTTTCCTTTCACATATAATTTTTTGCTTTTAATTAAATTGCTTTAATTCGTATTTTTATTTTTGTATTATTTTTACATTTGTTTATTAATTCTTATTTTCCTTTTAGTATTATTTTTATTATTTATTTATTATTTTTATTTTGTTATTGTTATTTTTGTTTTGTTATTTTTATTTTGTTATTTTTATTTTTATTTTGTTATATTTATTTTATTATTATTATTTTTATTTTATTATTATTATTTTTATTTTATTATTATTATTTTTATTTTGTTATTTTTATTTTTATTTTGTTATTATTATTTTTATTTTATTATAATTTTTATTTTTATTTTATTATTATTATTAACTTCTATTTGCTTATTATGACTTTTATTTTCAATTTATATCTTAATATTATATTATTGTTATTTTATTTTATTTTATTTTATTTTATTTTTATTTTTTATCACCATCACATTTTTTCATTTATTTGTTATTTGTTATTATTTGTATATTGTTTTATTATTTGGTTTTTATATAAAAACTGAAAGAAGCAATTCATCTCATTATTATTTCATAATAAATATTGAAATAACTTTCTAGCCTTCATACATATGTATGTCAGAACGTAATATTTTTAATACACATTTTTAATAATTACTATCCTTCCGTCATTCCCTTTTTCGAATCTCTTTCTCCCTTTTTATTATAGTTTGTAGTTTGACTAAAAGCGGCCACTAAATTTTTGTTTTTCGACTCTTTGCCATTTCAGGTTGAAGTGGAACAACCTAAGCAATTGCCACCGAAGCCGGCGAAAACGCCGCGTAAACGTCAACCGAAAAAAACACTCGTCACCAATGATTATGCGACGGTACGTAGTCCACAGCAAGAGGTTGTACAACACCAGCAACAGCAACAACAACAGCAGCAACAAGCACAACAACAACAGCAACACCATCAACAGCAACAGCAAACACAACAGCAGCAGCAACAACAAGCTACATACTACGATTTCAATAATAAATGGAATACGCCGCTGAAAATTGAGAATAATACACCATCGCCGGTGGCGCAGACGCCAGCAATTAGCATACCAACATATGTGAATCCACATGCTGCACAACAACAACAACAGCAGCAGCAGCAACAGCAAGTGCAGCCACAGCAACAACAGGTGGCCGTACAGCAGCAGCAGCAGCAGCAACAACAAATACCGCAACCCGCGCATATGCAATCATCGCAAGCGCAATCGCAAGCGCATCTGACGAACTTATCTTCGTACTATTCGAGCACATTTCCACAACAGATCGCCTCGCAGTATACGGCATGCATGCAACAAAATGCCGCAACAGCTGGCGCCATACAACCTACGCTTTATAATCTCAATCAGCAGCAGCAGCAGCAACAACCATTGCAACAGTCACCACAACAGCAAGCCCAGCAACAACAACAGCCACAGCAGCAGCAGCAGCAACCACAGCAACAACCCACACAAACGCCACAACACCAGGCACAAGCAGCAGCACAACTACAACAACAAGCTGCACAACAACAGCAGCAACACCAAGCACAACAGCAACAGCAACAACCACAACCACAACAACAACCCATCGCTGATGCGACCCCAGCTGCAAATGATCCAAGCAATAAAGTTATTGTACCCAACATCGAAGAGGAGTTGGACTTTCTAACCGATGCAGTAGCACCGAAACAGGGCTATGCGAACTCATCGGTTAAAAGCAATACTAATGGTCGTAGTGCTACCAATTTTGGCATACGCCATCCACAAACAGAAGTGCAGAGCGCACCAGCGGCCGTTAGCGCAGTAGCAAATAATGGTTTGCCAGCAGCTTCGGCGGCGGTCAATAGTGTTGTGACGCCGGTTAGTGAACGTAAGCCGGTTGTGGGCACTTCAATTGGCGAGAAAAAGACACAATTTATGGATAGCTATTTGAAGTTCCTGCAGGGTGAACGCGACGATTCACCACCACCGGCTGTGGTGAAAAGCGGTCGGAAGCTGAGTTATCAGCGTTCGCCGAGTGCTAACGCGCCTAAGCGTACGAAAACCGGCAACGACGAGGCGACTAACGCTGCTGCGGCTGCGGCTGGGCAAGCAAATGAACAGACGGCCAACCAGCAACAGGCGGGCGTTGTGGACGAACAAAATCCAGGTTTGACGGGCGATGATGCACATCGTATTAAAATACTCTCACAAACGCAAATATTGCCTAAAAAACGACCACAGGCGCACATGGCGGCGGCAGCAGCTGCAGCTGCGGCTGCGGAAACATCCGCTGCAGCAACGGCGGGCACCGCTTCCGTCATACAGCATCCAGCTGAGCAACAGCAACAGCAGCAGCAGCAGCAACAACAACAACAACAACAACAGCAGCAGCAGCAGCTACATCATCAGCAGCAGCAATCATTCCGCCCCTATGGGCAACAGCATCCACAACAACAGCAGCAGCAACAACAACAACAGCAGCAGCAACAACAACAACAACAACAACAACACCAACAGCAACAATACTGTGCACAATTGGGCTTTAGCGGTGGTGGTGGTGGTAGTAATAGCGGTGGCGGCGGCAGCAGTCAAGGTATGTTGCCTGACCAAGAAAATTCCTCCAGTACTACCACAACTAGTAATACATTAGCACCCACCGCTGCCGCTGCTGCTGCAGCAGCTGCCGCTGGCGTAACGGCCGGTCATCATCATCCTTTAATAAATTTTCTGTGGCCTTGGCATTGATTGAGTGCGACTGTGCGTTGTTGTGTTGCAATATTTGCTGACTGGTTGATTATAACAATAGTTAGCTGGTGGTGGCGCATGCGCAGTCCGAAGCTGAGATGGTGACGGCAAAATATGTACCAACAGCGCTTGGTACCGCTACCAACCGCACACTATCTCTTTAACTTCTCTCTTTCTTGACCACAAATCCGAGTGGAAAAAGACACACTGCTGCACTAACGTGAACGCTCCCAAGCACGCTCGTTTGCGCGCGCGCTAAAAAGACAATTGTGAACAACCAAAAAAAAAATCAAATACAAAAAAATTCAAATTAAAACGAAGAATGAGATCAAACAATCGGTTGCAGTTTAAAGCGTTCGAATATTCGTGTTAGCCAAGCAAAAAAGAAAAAAAAAGAAGAAATTATTTAAAAAATAATAATATTAAATAAGATCAAAATTAAAGGCAGCATTAATGATTTGTTACAATACATACATACATATATAATAGAATGAAAGAAAAAAAAATACCAGTTGATAAAATGGAAATAAGTATTTTTTGACAAAAGAAGCAGCAAAGAAAACAAAAAAGTTCTTAGAAAAAACATTTTGTGTTTTTATTTGCCAACCGGCTGGATAAAGCATTTCTATGCATGCTAAATGGGATATTATTAACTCACATTACATTGTTCACTTTGTACGCTCTAGTCTACAAAAGAAATTTTAAGGAAAAATCGCACCTTTCAATTAAAATTGGTCTTAACTAATTAAGGAGGAAATATAAAATTGCTTAAAATTCTTTAAACTTTCTTCTTATCACGGCCGAGTGCGCGCGAACGAGCGTTTTGGGGCGGAAATTTGACCATTTCACTTATTTCACTTTCGTCAGTGTACAACTAAAAAGAAAAATCTGCAATGTTCAGTCGCCATCAAATGGCCAAAGCCACAAAACAAAATTACTCATATCTAAGATATTCAAATTGCACTTCTTTAATTAAACACACACACACACATTCATCTCAAATTAAATTTTTATATTTAAGTTTAAGGCTCATTTTCACGTTAGCCTAGATAAGTCTGTTTTTTAAGCGATTAAACCATAAAGTTTGTAGAAATAATTTAAGTAATTTATATTTTTGTGATTCTCTTTATAATTGACATTCATTTTAGTATTCCATATTTGTCAAAAATTATTGGATTTTTAAAAACCAAATATGTCATTGTTGTTGTAATTTTCTATTGAAATACTTGAGAACTTCTCGGTAAGCATTTACCAAGTAAAAGTAGTTTGCAAATTAGTTATTCAAAGGCACTTTAATTTGGTAAAATGTCAGTTAGCTAACAAACGATAGCCTAGCCGGAGAACCCTGATATATACCCCTGAAGAAAAATCTTCTTAAGAGAATGACAATGACACCAGTACGGTTAACAGCTACATGCTGAAAATTATTGTGGTTAATAACTATTGATATTTCAAAATACTAGTATGCTCCTAAGCAGTCTACTGTAGCTTGAAAAGTCAACTGCATAAGCTGGGCATGCGCAGTGACTCTAAACAGGCATTTCATTTTCCATTGCAAAGGCAAAAAATCAATTAACTTTTCAGAATCCATCAGATATGAAGGTTGTACTTGCCTCAAACTTAGGTACTAATTTGTAGCTATTAGAAGGATTTTGGCTGGACGGGTAGTTTGTGTCGTTTTTGAAATATTTGAGATAAAACTGTAATCAAACTCCGTACCAAATCTCCAATCTCCATTGTGAATTTTCGCCTGTGGCGTCTTTAGTCGTCCTTATGCCAAAATTTTAAATAAAAAAATTTGTGTTTCTTATGCAAATCTTCCAGCCACTTTTTAGTAGTGAGAAATTGTTTGATAGTTGCTAATATTAAATTAAATTAGAACAGAGATTATTTCCATCTATCATTACACATACACACACACACACACACATACACATAGTCATACTCACCCTCCAACACATACACACACCTGCACATCGCTAATCCAAAATTCATGCAAACTCACTCAAATCCACATCATTTTTGCTCTTTACCATTGCATTTCCGCCCCCTGATTTACTGCGTTGGCTTTTCTAGATCCACTCACATTGCCGCCACGGCGCGAGCAAGGTCTCCGCAAAGCAAAACAGACCAGTATGCATGCAATATTTGGCGCTGGCACTGGTGCCGGCAGCAACAGTGGTGTGGCTGATAATGAAGATCAAGAGCCAGATGAATTTGCCGATTCCGATACAGATCCTGTGTGGACGCCACAGGAAGAAGACGTAAGTGTTGTTGTTCGTGTTGTGTATACAATAGCTTGGGGTAAATGTATGGAAGGAGAATGGAAAATGGAAATTTGCATGCACATTTATTTTTCAGAGTGAAGATGGTCGAAGTTATCGCCGTAAGACATCGCGTCGTAATAAGAGTGCACCGCGTAAGTCAAATTATAATCAGCCGCAACAGGGTCAGCAGCAGCAGACGGCGCTTAATCAAGTACAGCAGCAGCAGCAACAACAACAACAACAACCGCAACAACATCAGGCGCAGCAACCGCAACAGCTGTCACAGCAGCAACAGCAGGTGCAGCAGCAGCAGCAGCAACAACAACAAAATGTTGATGGCTATACGCCAAATAAGGCGAATGCATCATCGTATGCCAATGCAACACTTGATGCGGATAATTTTAAGGTAGGTTTTAAGGTTACAGGCGGAAATACTGAGATTTCAGGGAAGTTTGAAAACACTGCAGTGCGGAATATTTGCTTTAACAAACAGAATGCTTTAGAAATTCGCGAACTGAAGATTTAGCGTAGAAACGTATTCAAATCTGTCGTGATACATGCTTTGATCAATTTCCGAATGCATTCTAGCCTAAAGTTTACATGCGATTATTTTTTCGGCTTTGAGTCTGCCATACTATTTGGCGATTTTAATCTAATTTCACTTTTCATTAATCGTATTCAGCTCTGGTTGCCTTTCCCCGCTTCAAACTTACTTCATCCTAACCTTACTTAATTCTAACCTAGCTTATACATTCTAACTAACCTTAATTCTACCTTATTAAACTCAAATCTTAGTTCAACCTGCTGCTACTTCTCTCTACTATAACTTCATATACTATAACTCTATTCTATTTACACATTATATTAACCATACTTTCTTGCTAACTGAACTGAAGTGGGATCAGTTTAGCCTATTCAGTTTCATTCTATTCCTTGGACTAACTGTACTTCTTTCTAACCTAACTTAACTCCCATTAATTTTATTTTATTCTAACCTAACTTCACTGCAACCTTATTACACTTTAACCACAGGTGAATACCTTATTCCACCTTTTCTCTAGCTTTACTTGATTTGAAATGGAATTTATTATAATTTTACTTTAACCATCATAAGCTTACTTTGATCCCCACTGAACTGAATAGAAATCAATCCAACCCTGTTTCTTACTAATCTTTTTTCGGGCTAAATTTACTTCATTGAAATTTTACTTCACTCTAATCTTAGTTCACATTAACGTTACGCCATTCTGATCTTCACTTCAACCTGCTTCATTCTAGCCTTACTTTTGGCCTAAGTTCACTTGAGGTCGGCTTTACTTCACTCGGGCCTTAATTCACCCTAACCTAACTTCTCTCAAATTTTACTTGATTCTAAATTCACTTAATTCTAATTCTATTTTTTTTTTATCATTTTTTAATCACTGTAACTGATTTTAAGCTTTTTCTTTAATCCCGACTTCTATTACATCGACAACTTTACCTGACCTGTCTTGACACGAAGCGACTTTAATCTGCTATACATCCGACTTCGTAACCACTCCATCATTACAATAATTTAATCATCTCTTCCGCAGACCGGTGATTTTATTGTACTCCGTTCAGATTTGGTCAACGATTGGCCAACCATTTGGCAAGTGGACACGCAATGCATTCTACAAAAATATGAGCCATTCTGTCAGAATGGCAAAATGTTCTATCGCAATATGTCGATGGTATGTAAATAATTTAATTCAAAATAGAAATATTACTAAATTTATGGTTATCCTTATCTTACAGTACTCATCGTGGAATCTCGACTCGAAGAAATTGTATGTGAAAGCGCCGGTGCGCATACAAGTGCAGTCGCACAAGGAAACCATTGTAGAATTTATGCGTTCCGAGCTTTTAGCTGATGATACAGAGCAATTTATTGAAAAAATTATGGAAGATTATTTACGTTATCGGGATAATTTTGAAATTTACATACAAACAATGATATCACAAGTGTTGGATCCAAGCTTTTTTCTCGAAATTACTAGAGAGAAGGGTGTGTATTTTGAATAATGAACTTGAAATTTAGTTTTTTTTCTATAAAAACTTATAATTTACTGATATATTTTTTGCTCTTACCCTATAGATGAATACTTTTTGGGTAGCGTACGCATTATTGACAGCATTATGGATAATTGTAAGCGTAAGCTACTCTCCATTACGCCATGGACACGCAGTATTATTGTATCAATTGAAACGTATCCCAAATGCCATGTCTTCACCGAGTGGGGTCAAAATAATTTAACACAAAAGAATTGTGGTGGCTGTCATCAGCCAGGTATTTCTGTGCGTTTCCTGCTTTTCGGTAATCCATATCATGCGAACACTATGCAACCGGTGCCGGTTGATACGCGTTTGGCATGTGAGAAGGTAGGCGGGGGAGTTTTCATTAATTTATTATTATTAACTATTAATTAATTAATTTTAATTAATAAATTATTATTTCTAATTATTTTTTTTAATTTCAATATCTTTTTCTTTAATTTAAACATTATTATTTTATATTATTTATACTATTTCTTTTTTTTTAAATTAATTGTTTGTTTTTAATAAATAATTATTTTTTTTATTTTAATTAATTTTATTTTTATCTTAATTTTTTTTAATTTAATTTATTTTTTTAATTTCATTTATTTTTTAATTTCATTTATTTGTTTTTTCATTTCATTTTTTTTTTATTTTAATTATAATTTTTTAATTTCAATTATTTTTTTATATTTTAATTTAATTTTACTTTTTCATTTCAATTGTTATTTTTTTAATTAATTTTTTTTTATTTTAATTATAATTTTTTAATTTCAATTACAATTTTTATATTTTAATATCATTTTTTGTTTGTTTGTTTGAAATAAATTATATACTTTTTTTCACCCAGGACATACTGCTGTGTCGCATATGTGCTGCACGTGCTGATATTTTCCATAAGATTGCGCATGAAAAGTACAATTTGTATATACAATGTTCGAGTCGTGTTGCTGAACAACAACAAGAATGTCCTGGCAAATCGTCAACAGAAATTTTAAATGATCTATTAGCCGAACATAATTGGGTCGATGAGGTGATTTTGCTTTTGTGACTGTTATTTTTTTTTAGTAAATAAATTAACAAACATCTCATATTTTGCAGCTCTTCCGCAATATGCGCAATTCTTGGGCCGAAGTGGAGAGTTTAGAGCGGCAAAAACGTTTTCGTGAAGTCTCACAATAAATTGCAAGAAATTGAAAATGGTGCTCAACAATTAATTGCTGAATGAATTCAGTAAAAAAAATAAATCAACATGCCGTGCAATAACAGCCCAGCAAATGCATTAAAGCTAACGAAATTCCTTATAAAATTCTAACTAAAAAGCAGTAGAAGAAAAACATAAGAAACTAAACTTACATATAATTACATAAAGATTATAAAAAACAAAAAATATTCTTATACAAGCAGAAAGAGTATGCTAAAGCAGGCGTATGAAACGCTTAAAATGATACAAATATAATATATACATACATAATTAATATAAAATATAGTAGAAACTAGTTATATACATATAATACATATACTAAATACACATACTATATACATATATAAAGTTAGGCATATTAATATGAAGTTCATTTAAACGAAAGCGCTTTAGGGAAGCTTATAAAATTATGAAATTGTTTTGCGCGTTTGTTTTTTATGTTAGTTTCAGGAATTGAGATTTGTCAAACATTTTATATTATAAGTGGGCTTGTTATTAAAATAAAATAAACTAATACAAATTTTTAAGCGCTTTTTCAAATGAAAATATCTTTTGTTAAATTTTTGTGAAATTAATAATTTTATATGTAAATATTTTGAAAAAATTCCCTATGCTAAAAATTATATTATAGAGTTGTTAAAATAATTACAAACATGTAAATTAAATTCCTTAAAAATTGCGTATACAAGCATATGTATGTTAATAGAAATAAAGTAAATGAAAGAAAAATAAAATGTATATGCATACATATGTATATATATTGTAAATTTAATATTTTTAATTACAAAGTTAGTATCAGATTTTCATTTATAAATTTTTTTCGGCTTGCGCAAAAAATTTATTCAAAAATAAAAAAATATTTTTTTTTACAAAGCGCAAAATAATAAAATCAAATGGAAAAAGAATAAAAATAAAACCGTTGGCGAATTTAAAATGCATGTAAATTATTTAAATAAATTTATAAATATTTTTTTTAACTTTTTTATTTTAATTTATTTATATTATTTTTTTTGCAATAATTAAGTCTTAAATTTTTTTTTTAATTTTTCAAACAAATATTTACCTTATAAAATGCAAAATCAATAAAATTTGCCCGCCTAAAACCGTCATACGAAATACATTCAAATTATTTAAATAATTTTTTAATCATATTTACTATATTTTAATTTTTTTATATTCATTTTTTAATCTTTCTTCTTTCCGATAAAAATTTTCTTTGTCCAACAATAAAATTTGACTGCTTGGTTGAAACGTGTTTGAAAAAAAGAATACAAACATTTTTTTGGACACAATTAAATTTTAAAATTTAAGTTCTTAATTTTTCAAATATAAATTTTCTTTTTAAAACGCATTATCAATAAAATTTGTCTGCCGTCAACGAATTTAGAAATACTTGCAAATTATTTAGTTACATTTTAACCATTTTTTTATGTTTTCATTTATTTGTAAGTAAAAATATATATTTTTTTGCAACTATTAGGTTTTGAAATTTTGATTAATATTTTAATATATATGTTTCTTTTAACTTTTTCGCTAGCAACTGGCTCAAATATATGTTACTATGTATTTACTATTTACTATTTTTCTATTTTTACATTCATAAATATCAATACCGAGCCGATGTTCAATGGATTTTTTTTACTTTTATTTGTTTAGAATAATCAAATACTTATTTTTAGAATAATAAAATAATTATTTTTAGTGAATTTCAAATATTTTAATATTTTTTTTATTTTCTAAATATTTTTGTTTTTTTTTTTAATAATCTTACGCAAGTTTTTTTTATATACTTTAGAATAACATGATTTTTGTACGCCACCTAAAATTCTAACTTCAAAGATAGCAACAATAAACAAAGTCGAAATTAAATATCACATCAGGTGTTGTGTCATTTTACACATTTTCTTGTAAGCAATATAAAGCTAACAATCAAACAAATTATTTGGTAAATGTGAAAAGTACAAAAAAACATGCTAAAAGAGTTTGAATTCAATTTTTACTATTTTTCTTTATGAGATTTTTTTTTTTATAAATTTTTTAAAATATTTTTTAAGCAGCCAAGCACGAAACTATCACTTATTTAGTGAAAGCGTATCACAGAACAATTAAATTTAATGACAATGAATTTGGTCTTGCCGCTTAAAATTTTATTATTTTCATTAATATTCCTAGCTACTCAAGCGCTTGACAATATGATTATGAGAAAAAAATTGTGAAAATACAACTCAAAAGCCACTATAATTACTATCCTTTAAATCAAAATCAAATTAGTATTAAGTTTGGGTCACCCTTATTACTATATACATATAATCTCTACACATTGTAATATACACATATACATAAATAATATACACAATAATATTTTTATCGCGAAACACATGCGTCTTTTATTTCTTTTTATTAGATGCTAATTGTTTAAAAAAAAACAATGAAAAAGTAGTAAATTTAATGTTGTATAATAATATTAGGCTTAATGAGACTTTTCGTCCAACTTTGTTTAAATTATATATCGTATATATTTTTTTTTACAACTTTGCTCCCAAAAATTGAAAGAAAAAGTTTTCAACAAATTTGAATAAATGTTAACTTTATTTGAATTTATGTTAAATAGTTTATAATCTTTAAGTGCTTACATACGTATATATATTAAATTTGTATAAGACAAGAATATTATGAAATATATAATATAAATTAATACATACACATATACACATCCTTACGTATGAATATTATTGATTTTTATAACTGATACGGTCTCTTCGCTGGTATGGAACTTTTCACCGTTCGTTATTGGTTTTTCATTAAATAATTGTACTCGTTTATGTACGCTTGCTAAGCTGCAATACTGTAAATAATATTGTATATAACATTTTCTATATTTATGTATATACATATGTATGTACTTGTACAATTTTCCTTAAATCACATTTTCTTCACATCTTTCTTTTTCTTAATATTTCTAATTATTTTTCTTAATTTTTCTGATTTATTAGGTACCTTTGTTTTGTTGTTTTTTATATATGTATTCCATAATATAATTAAAAAGAAAAAAATATTTTACATTAAATATTTTTACTGTAAAGATAAAATTAATTATCCAATTGCAATTGTTTTTGTAATTGTAATGGCATTCAATTTAAAATTTCTAAAAACAAAAAAATGTTTACATATCACTGTGGCAAACGCCTATTGTGCGTAATTGGAACAAAAAAAGTATTATTTTAAAAAATTATAAAAACAAACAAACAAGTTGAAGCCTCGCGTTAACACTTTCACTATGCTGAGCATGTTCTTTGAAATTAAACTTAAACTCTGAACTGCTCAATTTGGCAATATTTTTTTTTATAGATTTAGAATTTAAAATTAACTACCTTCATTATTATTATACCTGTTGGAATGCTTTTTGTTACAGCGAGGCGCCACCTTTCTGCCCCTTTGCTGCTTTTTCACCAATTTTTCAATTTTTACCACCTATTTTCTTTTAGGCACATTTCTCATTCTCAAATATTTTATAATTTCTTGATTTTTCATCAAATGAGCACTTTTCAGCTTTAAAATTCCTCAAATTTGTATAATACTCTCGCTCTCATTTTTATGTTAACAATCTGATCCTTGCAACGCACTCTCTTTATTTATTTAAAACGCCTTAGTTGAATCCTTCTCTTCCCTGTACATCGATTTCTAGCTGTCACACTCTTCTTTCCCGTTTTATATTTAATACACGTCTCTCTCTCTCTTTCTGCCCTATCTCCAACTTTCTCCAATATTTTAATATTGTCTCAATAATATTTTTATTTTTATTTTTATAATACATTTTTTTACAATTTTCAAACAGCTCGAAATTTCTAATTTTTCACCTCAAAAGCATTCTTCGCATTATAAGTTCTCTAAATGTATATATAACACTCTCTCTCTCTCTCTCTCTCTCTCTCTCTCTAATTTTTGCTCTATTTATTGCCCTGCTCTTTATATGTTTCTCCTTCTGTCTAATTGCAGCATTTTATTTGTCTCCCTCTCTGCTCTGTCTGTCTGTCTAACTATCACACTGCCTCTCTCCTCAACTAATTATTTCTTACTATCTCATTCCTTCACTCTCTCTCACTCTTCCTTTCTCTCTAATATTTTAATATTGCCTCAATCATATTGTATTTTTGTAAATCTAAAACATTACCAATCATACGTCTTTTAAATATGGGCAAAGTACGTTCGGTTAATATGTCTAATTCATCGACAAAATCTGTGGCATTTTGACTTTTCGTTGAGACTGTTGTTGTAGTGTTAACATGCGTTTTCCCTGCCTTCATCCTATGCGCTTTACCTGCGTCTTCCTCATTTACCTCATCCGTATCTGAACTATCCGAGGACGATGAGGACGAGGTGAGCTCTTGTATCGCTTCCGATACTTTATCCAAATCGGGTAATTCACTTGCGTTCGATACGAAAAATGGCACTGCAAATGCCGACATACAATAACCGTAAACGCCAAATTGCCGTAATTGCTGCCGGAATACCGCCTCTGGGTAAAGTACTTTCGGATCCAAGTCATAATCGCGTATGCAATCTGTCAGCGTGTCATAGTAGATTTGCATGAATTCATCAAAATGCGCATCGCGTAGCGGCTTCTCTGTGCAGGCGTAGAGGTAGTGTACCAAATCCAAGACTGGCGCTGAGTAGCGCGAAATTTGAAAGTCAATCAGCTTGGCCTTGATGGCGGTATTGCTGATGGGCTGTAACCAAAAAAAAAGAGAAGAAGAAAATGGGTTGTATGAAATTTGCATAAAAAAAGACAAACGCTTTTTCTATTTAGACTTTTTTTGGTTTCGCGCAGACTGTAGTTTTTACAATTATATTTTGTATGAATATATATATAAATATTTTTTTTTTGGTTAGCTGGTGACCATAGTCGCTTCTTCAATGCCTTCTATGATGGCGTGCCGACGATGCATAGCCTCTCTTCTCTTGGCAAGTGAGCAGAAGTGTAACGCGTCATTGTGATACCAGAAGCCGATCTCGATGTCTCCATGCTGGAGCCCACGTGTCAGGACCGCGTTTAGTTACCCATTGACTTAAGCGTCATAGCGTACTAGAGACAATCTCTAGTCGGATAAATTGTGGATGTGAATAATCGGCAGTCAAGGGATCGCCTATCCCTTACTGACCCACAAGCGACATACGCGGGGTGTGGCCAAAAATCAATGAATCCTTGCACGACATTCACCACCCCTTGTCCCTTAAAACCTACTAATATATTTTCCCTTCACCTAGGTCCGAAGTAGTCGGTACAGCTCTTTTTCTGAGCTACCACGAAGACATCGACTATCATTGCCTGCTCCTGGTCGTTACAACAATAGCAGTCATGTTTTATTTCTTCTCAACTCAGCTACGAGTTAGGGGAATAACGGCCGCTTATCTAGAGGAATACCCTCTACTTCTCTAGTTCTTCATACATATTAAATATAAACCCTCAAAAGTGAATTGACTTACATCAAATTCGTAGAGTATATTGTTATTCCAAAAATCGCCATGACATATGACCGCATACGGCGCGTTTGCCGCACCATTAACAGCATCCAAGCAAATCTCATGAAAATTAGCCTCTATTTTATACTGCGCCTCCAACACCTCTTTTATTTGTGGCGTATCCACATCGCCAGCCTTTAAATCCGACTCGAACATTTGACGCGTGCGCCGCACAGATTTCTTGCCAAACTCTATCGACACCACCTCCATATCGGCGGTAAAGAGATTATCATCCATTTGGGTGACGAGCGCGGCAAAGCGTTGTGGTTGACGCGCCTGCAGTACAAATGACATTGCATGCAACTGTGCTATGGCACGGAATGCGCACACCACCAGATCATAGGTGGGCAAGTTAACGCGCGAGTTGATGGTATACCCGGCGGTGGTTAAATCTTCAAAAATTATAAATTCAGTGTCGTCCGCCAAGGATGAGTGGAGCATTTGAGGCGTGACATTGAAGTGCATTTGGTACGCACTGGCATCCACTTTGTTATTGTTATTGTTGTTATTATTATTATTGAGCAGCACACTCAACGCCTCGAATTCACTGAACACTTCTGCGTACATAAATACCTCACGCGCATACACATCCTTGACGCGCATATGTATGCGCCGCGCTTGACTTGTGGGCGCCATCTTCAATATGGTGTGGAGCGGCGTAGCGCTCGACTGCCCTGAGCTTGTCTGTGTGGGTGTTAAGCACACTTTCAAAACCGAGCCATATGAATTTTCACCTTTACCGCCTATCGGCTGTACGGTTAATTCGAAATCGATGATGGCATTGCGTGCCGCAATCTTACGATAAGCTTCCAAAACTTGCGGTGAAAGTGCGTCTACACTTTCTTGTTTCAGTATTGTGTCAGCATTTTTAGCAACAACAACATTTTGCTTTACTTCGCTATCCAGCATACTTGCGGTGATGTTTACAAATAAATCAACGGCACTATCAAATGATGAAGCGAATAAACAAAACAAAACAAAACAAAATGAAACAATAAACACTGAATCTCTTTCGTAACACTACTTTACAGCGCTTTTTGAAAACGAAAAAAAAAAGAGTTTTAATTATTCACCGCGCGTTACTGCTTCGATTGCTCGCTCTTCCGCCTCGTAAGTGTCCAATTGACAAACTGATTCCGCCAACTAGCAGACGCCAAGCTTTTATATTCAAACGGCTCACTAACTCATTGGGGTAGGATGCGCGCGCTCTATATTCTGCCGCCGTGGCGTGTTGAGTGTCTGCTTTCTCAATTGCAATGCCGGCTATGCTCGACGCTCTCCAATGCGCTCAAGTGCGCTCGCACTCGTTGTACCAGTGACGTTCACGTGCTTTTGGCCTACGCTTTAGCCATTGGCTGCGGAAATGTTTTTTTTTTGTTTTGATCACTACTACTTGTTGCTGTTGTTGTTCTAGGCAAGTGCTTGGGGTAGCTGAAAGCTAGCAATTGCATTCGGCGGCGCTGCATTTTTAGTCACTTCGTTTCGACGTTTCTATGCCAAGCTCTTCGCGTTGTTGGGCAGCGTCGCTTGCAAGTCGCGAGAATTTGCACCCCAACGTAAGGCGGCACAACAAAAATATGGGGAAAAAAGCAATATAAAAAATAGTTATGTAAGTTATGTAAGTTGTGCGATCATTTCACAAGTCAATGAACCCTTCCGACAAATGCATAATGTAAAAAAAAGAAACAATAGTGAGCTTTTATTTAGATTTTGTAGATACTCGTCGTAATTATTCTAAAAATGTTTATATGTGTTTATGGGTTCAAGGCTGTTCATGTGATGTTGATAAATAAATCGTTTGAGTAGAAATTGAGTTAAAAAAGTTCATTTACCTGCTTGGGTAATGAGCTCTAATATACACGCTTGGTAAGTATTTATTGCTTAGATATAAGTACATACATAGATGTTGGGGAAATACTATTTCAAATTTAGCCAAGACAATGCGCTATCTTATTCAGAGAGCGTTCATAAGCCACATGTTCATATTAGAGACCTGCTAGGACAACACTTTTCTTTCTTTGTTGCAGCCTAACGTAGCCTTTTCTATCATAAATATCTTTAGGAAGCAGGGAGGCTCGATCATATGCAGAAGACAGGAAAGTGTGAACAAATTTTGGCCGTTTTCCCACTTGTAGTCCTAGACCAAGCGTTCTCGGGTATGTAAACCCTAAAAAATTTGGTCAAGACAATTCGCGATCTTGTTTAATATACCAAGAAGGTGAAGAGGATGCGAAAACCGTTGTTTAATTAATGAATTTGATTGGTGGGTTGTTTGAAGAGAGAGAGAGAGACATCCAGGCCATCTAACTGGAGGTCGAGGAATGGGGTAAACCGACTCTAACCTAAGCCGGTTCTATGCACCGAACTTGACTCGGATTTTATCCAGCCATGGGTTATAAATTTTTCGGCGACTTAGCGCCGCTTAGGTGAACAAGTAACAAGTAACTTTACGTATTTTTCGAAGAGCCCGCAACTTAATGTAAATACGAATAAAATTAATCCCAAACTCGGTATTTCTGAATCCGCAGGGAAACGAATTGTTTATACTCATCATTTGATAGAGCTTTATAATAATTACATAGCTGTAGTAGGCTCGAATTTAGGCCAAGCCAAAACCTCCACGGTCGTCACTCGGCAAGAAATGCCCACCATTCAGAGTGTATTTCTGACATCAAACAGAAATCTATTGACTGTACCGAGCCGGTCTAGAAAAAAAGCAGTATATTTTTCTTTTTAATGAAAAAAAAAACATCTAAACTCACACGATAAAGTAAAGGAAAAGCTCGGCCTGAAAAAATATTCAAACTATTCCAAAATGCCCTGTGGTTAGTGAACAGCTGGTACAAAGATTTCGGTTTGGATGAAAAGCCTGCAAGGAACGAATTGATAAAAGTCAGCTTCTATTAAGCCGCCCTAACTTAAAGGCATCGATATCAGCCTTTCTACTAACGTCAAATCGCCAAAAGGTGAGGACTTAGTCTTATATTTTTTATTAGCTAAAGAAAGCGATGAGAATATTCGTAGTCTCTATCTTTCTCTGTCTTTTGGTCGGTATTCTTGAGCAGGGTTTCTCTTAATACTTTCCTGTTTGACCTTTATGGTAAACTGCAAATGTTTCTTCCATTCTCGGATGAGGTGGTCCACCCCAACTCAGCTTTCTGTGCTGACAGAGGAGCTAACCAAAGATCAATAACCAACATTATCGACGGCTCGAAGATCGATACACAGTATGGGCTGTAGAGCCCCCACAGCATCATTCACAATTGATATGGGCTAGAGACTTTTTGACCACTACAGCGTCTTTCATGCAAAACTGACTAAAAATAACCGTTGCCTCGTTGGAAATTTGCAGCAAACTTTCAACTAGATGCGAAACGTCCATTTCTAGAGAGATAACCCATGGAATTGTGACGCCAACGAGGTAGGTAGTGGAGAAAACCATTCAAACTATGGCATACTTTTTGTTTGTCAAAAAACTTGCAAAGATCGGTCTTCATGACACATGGCGGGGCGTAAGTATATGCAATGTAACCTGTCAGGTATGGTCATCGCCCAAAGAGAAGAAAACAAAGTTTCTAAATTTCCTGCTAAATCGCTTCTCCATCATCCATCTAATGGGGAATTTAGGAGGATGGGCTACGACTTCGATAACAGCTGCAGAGACATAAATGAGGTGTAGTCAGTAGCCTTCAGAGCTTTACAGAACTTTCTTAAAAAAGGGTCAGCAATCTTGTGGGCTTCATAAAACTTAGTAATTGCTTTACGCCTTACTAGGAAGGTGAGATGGATCTTTTTCACAGCTCAATTACCATTGGTATCGCAATGGGCGCCAGACCAGAGATGTGGGCAAAAGCGCGCTTGATCAGATCTTAACTACTAGTTAGAAATCTTCGAGAGAAAAGTTATGCGAACGATGAGCTCTACGAGCTATACGATGATATTGACATGGTACAGCGAACAAAAGTCAAAAGCATATATCAAACTGACTTCGAGGATAGGAATTAGATACCATACAGATCCACTTTGCAGTAGGCAAAATATAAACTGGTATATAAATAATTATTTATTTTACCAAATAACTAAGTAAAGGACATACATACATATATTTGAATGCTCCGTATCAGTTGTATTCTAGCGGACAGTATCATCGTTTTGTAATATTGACCGTTATGGGACCATTTTATCTATATAATGAATTTGTTTGCTAAAGAAATAAGTAAAATGAGATGTGTCTATTATGAAAACACGCTTTGTTTGAGACAAATAAAAGAAAGTATCAAAGGGAATTCTAAGTGACTGTGTAATAAGACAAAAGAATGAAAGAAAATTGTTTGGAAAATGCTGGCATTCTTAAACAAGAGCGTTAGACGATAACAATTGAATGCTGATAACGCATTCCGATAATCTATGCATAGATCAGTGGAAACAAGAAAGAAGCACTGTCTTCGATCATACCTATGTGTCTATACCTTTCGTTGATTTTCAGTATCAATATTTATTCGAAGCTTGTTGTGTGAAATATTCATGTTCTCAGATACTTAATTGCAGTATTTATGACACAAAATCCCCGAGTCGAACAATACGGTTTCAGGGCAGGTGATATAGCCTGCCGATCTGGCCAGTTCCGACATGTGTTGGGTTTAAATCAACTCAGCTCGTCATTCTGATCCAATCTTTATACATTTTGGTGCTACTTCTGGTACTTACATACCTCGGGTTTCATATTCATGTAGGAAATAATTAGGGAAATTCAAATAAAATCTTCACAAAAGTGCTCATAAAATTAATTGATTTCTAAGAAAAAACTGTTATTATTCTTTATTGGCGTAGTAACCGCTTACAAGATTAAAGCCAAATCAATCTTAGCGCGCCATTCCTCGCTTCTTTTCGCTGCCTGGCGCCAGTTGCATATAATAAGTGAGGCCAGGTCTCTCTCCCCTGTTACTTCCAACGGAGTGGCTGTCTTCCTCTTGCTCTGCTTCTACCAGCGCGTACTGCATCGAATACTTTCAAAGCTGGAATACTTTCATCAATTTGGACGACATGACCCAGCCAGTGTAGCGGCTGTCTCTTCATACGCTGAACTATGTCAATATCATCGCATAGCTCGTACAGCTCGTCGTTCTATCGTCTACGGTATTCGCCGTTGCCAATGCGCAAAGGACCATAAATCGTTCGCATAACTTTTATCTCGAAGACTCCTAGAGCCGACTCATCAGATGTTGACATCGTCCAAAAGAAAAAGTTTTTACTGCAAATAAATTACGGATTTTTTTCAAATTTTTATTTTATTCAAAGAAATACTAATGTCGGCCGCATTAGTCGAGTAGCTAGCATTGCGTGCTGACATTCGGAAGCCAAAAGTTTTAGAAAATTAGTTTTTTTAAATAAAAAATTAAGTTAAATCTTTTAACTGCAGTCGCCCCGGCATTGTCAACCCCTTCGAGTGTATTTCTGACATGTAATAAAGGCTCCTTATAAAAAAATCATCAACCATTCGGAGGCGTCTTAGTATGAACCGTTGGTCCCTCCATTCGTTGGGAAAACATAAAATTGATGGAGAAGCTCAGCCGAGAATCGATTCAACGGTTACAAAGCGCATATTATATATATTTTTATACAAATGGCGGCCGCATTAACCAAGTGGGGTTGGCATTGCGTATTGCCTTCGAGAGGCCAAGGTTCGAGTTATTAATGTGGCGGTTTCAAAAGCACAGGGCTATATTTGAACACCTATCAAGCATAACTGCCAAGCCAAACATGTTTTGTTTTAGTTAAAACTGAGCGATATATGAAAATGGACTGCTAATAATCGCACGAGGCGTTAGAAAGTTTAAAACCCAAAACAAACATTGTAAATGGAGATTTTGTTGCACATAATCGTCCAACTACTCCAGAAATTGATAAAACTATAAAGAGAGTGTATATATCATCTATATCATATGTATCAACGTTTTGCTTCTTCCATCTCAAATATCGCGCCTGTAAGTGAGTGTGCAGCTGAGGACTCGAATGTGTCTATTTCACGCAGATTGTCACATGTTTTTATTGCGAGAGAAACTAACCGGCCGCGTAAACTATCACCTAGGTGATGTCAATAGGCCACCGAGATCATGTAATTTGACAGCGTTGGATTTTTTTTTTG